AGTGTAGAGAGAAGGAGCGGGCAGTGGGGAGGCCGGCTGTAACTGTAACTGTGACGGGACAGGCTGTGGACACTCTAAGGGAGGAGGAGGACCAGTAGAAGGCGGGAGACCAAGAACCTGCTGAAGGAGCGGAACGAAGTACGGCCGAGGCCGCGCGGCGACTCCAGACACGGCAGGGACAACACCAGTACCCCCAGCGGCAGCACCAGCGCCAGCAGCACCTCCAGCGCCAATACCTCCAGCAGCACCAGTAGCACCCCCAGCAGGACCGCCTCCAGGACCGACAGCAGTAGCCTCAGCGTCAACACCGTCAGCAGCTCCAGCTCCAGGCGTACCCGCAGGCCCAGCAGCTCCAGTACTCCCAGTACGAGCACCTCCGGGACCCGCGGCACCAGCACCCTCAGCAGCCGAAGAACCTCCAGCTCCAGCAGCACGCCTCCAGCGCCGGGCAAACCACTCGCGCAGCTCCTGTGGAGAGAGTGGCTCCCGCCGAGACGAAGCACCCGGAGAACCTCTAGGCTCAGCACCGCCAGACGCCACACGAGCAGGCCCAGCTCCCTCAGGCTCCGCACCCCCAGGCTCAGCACCTCCAGGCGTAGCACCCCCAGGCTCAGCACCCCCAGGCTCAGCACCCCCAGGCTCAGCACCCCCAGTAGTAGCACCCCCAGGCTCAGCACCCCTAGGCTCAGCACCCCCAGGAGTAGCACCCTCAGGCTCAGCACCCCCAGGCGTAGCACCCACACGCTCAGCACCCCCAGAGTCAGCACCCCCAGGCTCAGCACCCTCAGCAGCACCAGAGTCACCAGTAACCTCGACAGGCTCGACAGCGTCTACCTGGGACACACCTGAAAGGGCAGGACCCTGAGGGGGGAGGGGGTCTACCGGGGGGGGGACCTGGCACAAGGAAGAGCGGTGGCGGGGGGAGGGACGGAGTGCGGTAGGGGAAGAGGCGGTAGTAGGGGACCGACTCGTCAAACGTGACCTCCTGGGAGGACAGAACACGGCGAGAGGTGGGGTGGTAGAACTGCCACCCTGGCGCGTCAGGGGGGAAGCCAAGGAAGACGCAAGGAGCAGCACGAGGGGACAGCTTGTCCGCAGACAAGTCGCGGACAAACGCCCGAGATCCCCAGACACGGAACGCAGACGCATCGCCAACCTTCCCCGTCCACAGCAAAGCTGGGGAGGTCTCCGGCATGGAGACCCTGGGGTGAAGGTTGATCTGATGCGCCGCGTACCGAACCGCAAACGGCCACAGAAAATGGGGGGCAGCCGCATGCATCATGGGCGTACGGGCGACGTCCATGACCATGCCAATGCGGCGCTCAGCAATCCCATTTTGCTGTGGAGAGTCCGGAAGCGTGAAGGTCTGGCGGATGCCTCGTGCACGACAGTAGGCTCGCAGAAGGCCAGAGGAGAACTCTCCACCTCTGTCAGAGTGCAGACGCAGAACAGGAAAGTCCGAGCCGAAACTCTGCCTGAGCTGGAGACGAGCTGCGCGGATCCAGTCGATCAACACCTCAGTGACATCACCCTTGCTGCGCAAGGGGAAGACTGTGGTGTAACGCGAGTAGTCGTCAACAACAGCAGGAAGTAGCGCTCGTGACCCTGTCCACGGACGCGGGCCGGGCCCCACACGTCCATGTGAAGCGTCTGCAGCGGGGCCTCTGTCGGAGGAAACTGGGAGGAGTGAGGGGCAGCCCGCTGCCGCCCCTCGACACAAGGGACGCAGGTAGGGCCTGGCCCCGGAGGAAGGGGAGGGAGGGACCGGGAAAGACCAGAGACAAGGACACGAGAGGCCATGCCTCGGAGACGAAGCAGGGAGGGGTGACCAAGGCGGTGGTGCCAGAGGAGAGTCTCGTGCGACAGGAGGCGACACGAACAGGGGGCAGACTCAGGACCAGACCTGGACGCTGCAGCAAACACCTGACCCGACGCAGCTACCTGACCAGACGCAGTGACTGGAGGAGACGCAGTGGTCAGTGTGTACAGGCTCGACCCCGGCCGACGTGTAAACGTGGCCAGGTGTCGGCCTGTCCGAGCGTCCGTGCAGTGGGTCACCCGCTGACTCGCAGGAGTGAACTGGTGAACCCCCGCATCCTGTAGGTCAGCACCACTCACCAAGTTCGTAGAGAACGAGGGGAGGTAAAGACCAGACAGGGTGCCAGAGGGGGCCGCCGGACACGGGAGGACAGTGGAGAAGTGAGCAAGGACAGGACCCCCAGAGGGGTCTGCCAGAGAGACTGCAACTGGCCGGCCAAGCGGCGTGAGTGTGGTGCGGTCTCGAAAGAAGGAGCGAGAAGCCCCCGAGTCAAGGGTGAAGGTGTGGGAGGCCGAAGCCGACGCAGTACCTGAGAGAGCAGACTCACCAGCACCTGAGGGAGCAGACACACGAGCACCTAGAGCAGCAGCCTCGCTAGCACCTAGAGCAGCAGCCTCACCAGTACCTAGAGCAGCAGTCGCAATGCCCGGGTCGGGCGGAAAACACCGGTAACAGTCACCCTCATCACTAATAGTCACAGCATACATGGCAGCAAGGATAGCATCAAAGTCAAGGTCAAAGACAGCTACACCCGCCCTAGACAGCTCGCCCCAGCGGGGGATCTCAGTGGCCTCAGGGAACTGGTGACACCAAGCGTCCGTCAGGCGGCCAAAGCAGCGCTGGGTGGAGTGCGCACCCCCGCACTGCTCACCCGCGCGGTCGCCAGTGCGTAGGACGTAGGTGCACGGACCAGTACCCCAACCCCGCTGGCGTGCAGCGTACCACTCACGGAGCTGCTGAGGGGGGGGGATGTCACGAGTGCGCTGCTGCCGCTGCTGCTGCTGCTGCTGGCGCTGACCACCACCGGAGCCGACCCTCTGCGCAGCGCCACCCCGACCAGCTCCACCTCCTCCGCCGCCGCCTCCTCCACCGCCGCCACCTCCGCCACCTCCGCTCCCACCGCCACCGCCGCCGCCGCCTCCGCCTCCACTGCCGCCACCGACACCTCCACCCCCGCCACCACTCCCACCACCACCCCCACCCCCTCCACTGCCTCCACCGCCACCTCCGCCACCCCCGCCAACCCCTCCAGCACCCTTGCCCCCCTTGCCCTTGCCGGTGCGGCGTCTCCCGCTCGGGGCAGACGCAGCGCCGACCGACTCGAAACCAACGAGGTCGGCCGCAGCAGCAGAGGCAACAGAGGGCAAAAGGGGGGAGGGGGAACACCCCTCAAAGACGGGGGTGCGAGGGTCACCACGAGAGGCTCCTACAGCGACTATGCTCTTCTCTGCTGCTAGGAGGGCCTTCTCGAGGAGGTCAACGGTGAGAGTGGTGGGGCAAACTGAGAGGAAGTGGTCCCTGACTACGCGAAGGGAGTCAGGGAGGCGGGTGACTATGTAGTAGAGGGTGATGTACATGGGGGGGGGGTTCTTGGCGCAGAATTCAGCAGGAAGCGCAGCGCGGTAGCGAGTGTCACTAGTGCGGAGGTGCGTAATGAGGTCAGCGACTGTGGGAAAGGCAGCAAGGTCAGGGAAGAGGTACGGTAGCATGAGGCGGCTCAGTGCAGCAGTGGCAGGGGAGGAGTAGCGCGCAACTACAGCGTCGTACAAGGTGTGAGCACTCTTGTACTGGCTAAAGTGCGCACGCTCAGAGGTAGGCAGGTGGCGACGCACAGCAAGACGTGCAGCAGCATCGCGTGTGGCCCACTGTGAGCGAACAGTGGCGTCGGCATCAGCAGCAGGGGCAGGAGAGGCACCAGAGGTGAGGTCAAAGAGGGAGAGACCGTCTGCCCTATCGCACTGTAGGAAAAGCTGCAGGTCATCTATCCAGACGTCAAAGTCAATGGCCCGACCCTCAGCGTCAAAAGCGAGGACACTAGGGGTAGCCATGACAGCAGTAGACTAGCAGCGCGAACAGTAGAGTAAGGGCAGTGCAGTGACAAAGGCGCTGCTCTTACCGGACAGGGCGGCTCAGGCGGCTCGGCGGCTCGGCGGGTCGGCAACTCGGCGGCTCGGGCGGCTCGGGCGGCTCGGCGGTACGACGGCTCGGCAGCAACTGCGGCTCGGCGACTCGGCGACTCGGGCGGCTCGGCCGGCTCGGTGGTACGGCGGTGCGGCAGCAACTGCAGCTCGGCGGCTCGGCGACCCGGCGGCTCTGGCGGCTCAGGTGGCGCGGCGGCGAGGCCGGGTGGAGCGGCGTCGGGGCCGGGTGAGGCGGCGCCGGGGCCGGGAAGGGCAGCTCCGGGGCCGCAGGGGTAGGCGACGGGGCCAGCAGAGGCGGCGCCGAGGCAGGGAAGGGCGGCGCCGGGGCCGCAGGGGTAGGCGACGGGGCCGCGAGGGCGGCTAGGAGGGGGGGGGTCGCGAGGGCGGCTTGAAAGGGCCGCGAGGGCGGCTAGAAAGGGCCGCGAGGGCGGCGTGAAAGGGCCGCGAGGGCGGCGCGACACGAAGGAGCCGCGAGGGCGGCGGATCGGGGCCGCGAGGGCGGCGCGACGCTGCCGCTAGGGCGGCGCGACGTGAAGGGGCCGCGAGGGCGACGCGACGGGGCCGCAAGCGCGACGCGACGGGCCCGCTAAGGCGGCGCGATAGGGTCGAGAGAGGGGAGCGCGACTCGGGCAGTGGAGAGCGCGCTCCGGGCAGGAAAAAAAATGTGGTGGGCCCTAGGAACAGTTCCCACAGGGGAACCTGCTCGATACCATGAGAAACTGAACGAGAATGAATTGACTAAGAGAAAGTTGGGTACAAATGTAAACCCTAGAAAACTGTACCCCATATGTGCTATCCCACTATAGCCTACAGTAGCTATGTCATATAAATCTGACAGTGACGTGGTGCTGCGGAGTCCGTATGTAGTAGTGAAACTGGAGAGTGTGTTGCTGGTTGCGGATTTGAAGGTGAACTTGGTCAGTCAGTCACAGCTTGATGACTTGGGATGCAAGATATTCTATGACAGTGGTGAGGTGACTGTGTTTGGTCTTGAGTGGGAGAAGTATGCTGATGGTTACTTCAGTGACGGGTTCTATGAGATGAACTTGGTCGCGACGAATGATATGGATGAGATCTATGAGGATCCTGAGTATGGTGAGATGGGAGAACTGGAGGAGTTATTGACTAAGGTTGATAAGAGCGAGGACACGGATGATACGGGAGCGAGTGTGGAGGCAGCAGTGAAGCAGGAAGAGGAGATAGTGATCAAGGAGGCAACAGCAGTAAACGGTGGAGATGGAGACGGTGTCAACACTTTTGCAGCAGCGATCGTGGTTGAAGATAAAGCAGTAAATGCGAAGTGTGTGGGAGTTGAAGCTGTGAAAGGGGACATCATGGTGAAAGGATCAAAGGCGAATGCAACTGCCAAGGGGCAAGTGCTTAAGGAGGATGAACGCGTTGAAGGGTACGAGACCCGAGAGGTGTTGGGTGTAAAGATGCTGAGGAGAAGCGAGAGGCATAAGAAAATCTCTCAAGGTTTGGATGTCAAGGCGCTCAACTTCAAGACACGTAAGCAGAGGTTCAAGGTGCAGGAGCTGCAGGGGAGCGTGAAGCCGACTTAGACCCTGTGAAGGCTACAAGGAGCAGGGGAGCAGTGCGAGTGGTGTTCGTGGTTGACGAACCACAGGGGAGATTGTTAGGGTTGGTTCGCCCAACCACGGAACCTAAGGCGAAAGCATCTACGACGGCGGAATGACGACGAAATGGAAGCGCGTGTGTGAAACGGTGGAAATCGGCCTACGGTGGGGAATAGAGGCTACGGCGTGAGAAGCGGGAGAGAAATTGAGAAGAAATGTGCTAGAAGGAGGGAGAGAGAAGGAGAAGCATCGAGAATGAGATTGACGAGGGGAAAAATGTGCTTCGAGACCAAGGCGCGTTCGAGAAAGTTCGGGATTCGGACTTGCGGAGTGTTCACCGAATTCGGTTCGGTTGCGTGTGCGACTCGGGGTGAAACGAGGCGCACGCGGTTACTTGGGAAACAAGTGAAGTTACGAATCTCATTTTGTGTCTTGCCTGACTATAAAGCTGCTTGTACTCATTTTGGAAATCATACCAATCAGATTCTGAAAATTGCTGGTGTAATGACAACTTCAAGCAGAGCTGCGCATATCATTGGATTCGGGAGATCGTGGAGAACACGATAGGCGATAGCAAGTAGACTATTGCCGACTAAGGTGCTTACGATCCTAAGAGTTAGGTTGATAATACCAATTTTGGTCCAAATTTAGACCAAACCAAGACCCACTACTTTGTGATGGCTCCCCGTCCCCCCAACCTAGCGGAATATTGCGTGATGTTGGATGATTGAGCATCCCCACCTCTCCTCCTTTCCCCTCCCTTCCCTGCACCACGAACACTACAGGTGCTCTCCCTCCTCTCACCCTACTCTCACCCTCCTCTCACCCTACTCTCACCCTCCTCTCAGCCTCCTCTCACCCTCCTCTCACCCTCCTCTCACCCTCCTCTCACCCTCACCCTCCTCTCACCCTCCTCTCACCCTCCTCTCACCCTCCTCTCACCCTCCTCTCACCCTCCTCTCACCCTCCTCTCACCCTGTTTCCTAAGTTACTGATTGAGCATCCCGCCACCACCCCTCCCCCCCCTTCTTCTCCCCCCCCTTCCTCCTTCCACTCTTTCCCACCATGCACCGCAGGTGCTCTCTTGCTGCGGCCACGTGCGGATCGTGAAAGGCAGAATCTACTTCCGTTTCGGCGGCTTCGAGTTCGACTGGTTCAAGATGCGCCGCTTCCTCTTCTCGATCCTCATGATCAAAGAAGCCATCGCACGCTACAGCCTCCATTCCCTCACCGCCGAATTCTTCATCAACACGTGCGACGCGCACATCAGCAAAGCCTCATCTGTCGCAAACCGCCGCGCCGGCCTCCCCGTTTTCAGCACGCACGGCTCCATCGGCAGCATCGACATCCTCTACCCGGACCCGGTGGATCTGAGCGAAACTTACTTCCGCCGAAGCGAGGCGGATCAGGTACCTTGGGAGCAGAAGCAGAGCCGTGCTTCTGCTCATGTTCCGAGGGACCATGACCAATTTCCACCTGTTTTACGACCGGCAATGGCGCCCCAGCCCGCGAATGCGCCTCCACCGCATGTCAGACGTGCGGCCAGACCTGATCGACGCGAGGCTTGTGAAGGGAGTGGACCCAGTGTTTCTAGATGAGCTGCGGGAGGATGGGATTAAGATGGGGGGTCGACTCGGTCCGGCGGAGTTTGCAAGCGTTCAAGTATGAGATCGAGGTGGACGGTGGTACGGGGACCTGTCGCACGTGCGGGATTCTGGCAAGCAACCAGATGATCATCAAGCACGCGAGCGAGTATTTTGAGTATTTCTACCCCCTCCTGTGCCCATACCAGCACTTCGTCCCAACACACCGATACTTCGATGATTTATTCGAGCGGATTGAGTGGGCTCGGGATCATGACCTCAAGGCGCAGCAGATTGTGAAGCAGGCCAATCGGCTTGCAAGGGACGTGTGTACATGGGAGGGCCGGCGTCTCTACTGGGCGATTCTCCTCGCGAAATATTCCGCCAGCGCGCTCGAGGATCCTGCCAACGTAACCCGCCCGGCTGTCTTCAAATGCACGGTCCCTCCAATCCAAGGTGACGTGGTGATGCACGGCATTCGCTCCAAAGAGAAGCCGGAAAAATGGTACCCCAGGTGTGGGTCTCCAGAGGAAGATGAGGGGCAGTCCCTGTGTACCCACTGGTGCTCAGGGCGTTTGGAAGAGTCCAAGTGGAAATGGCTTAGTGCCGACATTCTGAGTGGAATTCAGGGCTTCAAGCCGCAAATTCCCGGAAATAAGTTCCGAGATGTGTAAAGGCCTGGACTGAATGCATGCTTGGGTAAACTGAAGAAGCTTGAGTGGATGTGGATCACTGGGGCATTCTCAGTGTCACCTAGGTCGGCTGGGGAGTTTCTGCCAGAGACATGCAGGTGCCTAGATCCTTCATGTTACCTCGTCACTTAGGTGTTGTCTACCTGTGTGTGTGGCATAGGGCATGCTTTATGTCTCGAGGGGAATCATGAAGTGCTGGCAGTGGGCGTTCTGAAACAGCCAGCACAATTGTTGTTTACATAGAAATTGCTGGCTTGCACAGTGTGTATAGAATATGTTGTACAGGCCCTCAGATTCGTTTTTGGGCTGTCTGATTCGTCAGACTTAGTACACATTTTTAGTCTGATCAATCAGACTTGGTACAAAAAAAAAAACCGAAATTTCAGAGTTCAATCGTATAAAAGTCTGATAGTCCAAAGTTCACATCAGTAGTGAAGCTGATTGATCAGCCTAAAACGGGGTGATAACCTCGCCGCAGCGCTGTTGTCAATGTTTCAGTGTGACTGACACGACAAATTTGTACTTCCAGCGCTAATCGCGGCTGTCAGGTCAGTAGGTACCCGCTAAAACGCTCTTGGGATCAGAGTACACTCTGAGAAAAAGTCTGAAATATCAGACAAGGCATAGAATGTTTTTCTGAATATTCAGAGTTCACAGCAAAACAAACGCTGAACTTTCAGAGTTCACTAAATAAAAAAGGGTGAATATCAGAGTTTTTTAGGCAAATCAGAGAAATTTCTCTGACTTTTGGGGGCCTGATGTTGTACCTAATTCACATACAGCAGTACGGTATGTATCACCCATAATTGAATTGAATGCTTCTTTATTTACCAACTGAGTACCGTCATCGCCCGGATATAAGACAGTGTTGAATAGTAGACAGGGGTTGTCTACTATACGGGTGTCTCTTATAAACAGGCAAGCCTTTTTATACGACACCTATTTGTGTGTACGAGATAAGACATATATGTCTTATAATCAGAACCGGGGTTTAGGGGTTTTCTTATAAACAGGGGGTGTCTTCTAAACGAGCCTACACTACTTTAGGGGGGTACATCCATACATTCATGAATCCCTACTTCTACCTAACCCCCCTCAGTAACCGCCTCCTCTGCAGCACTAGCAACAGGCTCTACGCCCAGGTCTGGCACTCGCCAGGCATGCCTAGCCGTCTCCCTTGGCTCGATCATGCGGTCAGCCTCGGCCGCCGCTCCGCGGTAGTTGGGGGTCTCCTGGTACAGCACCTCCAGGCCAGTTGCCACGGCCACCTCCCGCACGCCCTCCGCCTGCATCGCCTCCTCCTCCTCCTCCTCCTCCTCCTCCTCCTCCTCCTCCTCCTCCTCCTCCTCCTCCTCCTCCTCCTCCTCCTCCTCCTCCTCCTCCTCCTCCTCCTCCTCCTCCTCCTCTGGAGCCTTCCGAAGCAGGCGCGTGTTGTCGCCTGTGGTCCCCCCGAGGGACATGTCCTCGGAGACATCGGTGGTGCTCCTGGCGCGCAGGTGAGACATCACCAGGTGGTTCTCCGTTCCGTCCAGCTTGCTGGAGATCCCACAGTGGCGGAACGCGTCGATGATGATCTGCCTGGGGACTTGATCCGAAGCCTCCGCGATCCACTGCAGCACCACGGGGTGCGGAGGCCTCCGCAGGTTCCCTGCGAGTGGGACAGAGGACACGGCAGCGAGATGTTAACGATAAGGACACGAAACAGAGCAGGAATTTAAAATGAACAGCCAACTCACCCTTCTTCGTCTTCAGGTGAATCCCTTCACGCATGAACCACCTGGCGTAGCGCGCTCGCACGGCAGCCTTGAAGCACCGGTTGATGGAGACGTCCAGGGGTTGAATCTGGCTCGTACAACCCGCTGGAATGACTGCAGGGGTGATGCTGTGCGTGCGGTACGACTGAAGCATGGTCTGGGTGATGTGGCCGCGGTAGGAGTCCAACACCAGCATCGCACGCCTCGCGCTCTTGCCGCGCTGGGGGTTCAGATGGGGAAGCACCTCCTTGGACAGCCAGGTCTGCACAGCGCTCTCGTCCATCCACCCGTTGTCCTGTGCTTGGACCACGATTCCTGCCAGGCACACAAGGGACAGACGGACATCAGCACAGTGGGGCACGCTCATGAGGCAGGGGCAAGGTTGAAGTCATGGCGCTTACCGTCCGGAATCTCACAGTTGGGGACGTTCTTCATCTTGAACCACACCCACGGCCGCAGCTTCTCCCCGGATGCAGTGCACGCGAGCATCACCGTCAAGTGCGTCTTCTGGTAGCCTGCAGTGCGGATTGGGACCGAGCGCGCGCCACGGTGCTCGATCGTCCTCTCGGCCGGCATCTCCACGAACAGTGGCGTCTGGTCCGCGTTGATGATACGGGCCAGGTCGATGTTGTGCCGCGCCCTGTTGATGCGCACGAACTTCCAGAAGGACTCGCAGTCCTTCGCGCACTCTGCAAACGGGACAGGAACAGAAGCGAGGGACGGTTAGACAACGAGCAAGGTAAGACATGCATACAATGGGCCGTGCGCGGCACGAACTCCTTATCCACGCACCTGCCGACAGACGTTGTTCGACCTTCGTCTTCACCCGCATCACCAGGTTCCAGCGGTCACGGAAACGCTGGCTCCAGTGAGAGCTCGCGTTCCAGTTCTTGCCGGGGTAATGCTTCTTCATCCACTCGCGGCTCCACTTTTGGGTGTCCTTCACCGAGATGGCCACCCCGTTAGCGCGCTGAAGGCAGATGTAGCGGTACAACGCTGCCTCCATGTCGGGGTAGTGTGCGTGGCGGCCCCCCCCGTGCATCCGCTTGCAGCAGTTAGCCGCGCCCTTGTAGATGCCCGTAGCCGCCTCCGCGCACCAGCGTCTGATGCAGGCGACGCTCGCGGTTGACTCCAAGCTAGTCTTCTTCAAGGAGCCGAGCTCCTGATAGCGGCGCGCCCACTTAACCTTCTCACGCACGGTCCAGCCGCGGCGCTTCTTCGTAGTGTCTTTGCTGCGAGGGGAAGGTGGGCGGGTGTTGGGATTATGGAGGGTGGGGTCCTTCGGCGCCTCCTTCTCAGGGAACGTGGGAATCGGGCCCGCCGCCGCCGCGTACTCATCGTCGCTGCCCAACGCCTCGTTGACGATGATGTCGTCAGGATTCGGCGCCTTCTTCGCCTTTTTCTTTGCCGCACCCTTGCTGGATCCAGGGTCTCCGTCGTCCTTGTGCTTCTTGTTGCTTGTGCGGCCACGAGCAGGGGCCTTTGCAGGGGCCTTAGCAGGGGACTTAGCAGGGGCTTCCACGACCTTTGCCTTTCCCTTCTCCGCAGCGGTGAGTAGGGGGCGACGCTCCTCCCTGGGACTGTCGTCGTCACAGAGCACCACGCGGGCGCGCTTCGTCGTGGACTGTAGGCGATGGCGCAGCCTCCGCTTCAGTAGCGGAACGTCATCGTCTGTCCCAAGGCGCCACGGGTCGTCGTCGTCGCCCTCACCCTCAAATAAGACGGCATCCGCAGCCACCTTGTTCGCCTCCGCCACCGCGTCCGCATCCGCAGGCGCCTCTGTCTCGAGTTCCGCCGCCGCCTCGTCGGCAGCCTCATTCGCATCCACCGCCGCTTCCTGTGCCTCCGCGTTGTCACCGCCAGCATCTTCACCTCCGTCGTTGTCGGAATCACCAGCCCGCCACTCTTCCACATCGTCGTCGCTCCCGACCGGCTGATTCCACCATTCGTCCTCCTCGATGTCGGCAGTACCAAATTCGTCGCCCGAAGCGCTGTCATCGTGGCCGTTCTCCGGCCAATCCTCCTCGGCGTCGTCGCCGTGTGCCTCGTCTCCGTCTTCCCCGTCACAGCTCGCACCGGAGGCGGCGGTAGGACTTCCCGCCTTGCTCGCGTTCTTCGCCATGGCTACGCGGATGTCATCGCCGGGCGAGTTAATTCGCCCGTAGTTATTCACCTGCACGTGAGGACGAGGTGAGGACTTGCCTAGGGGTACCTTGCTGCGCATGGTTAGAGAGCCTGCCGAGAGCAAGGTTGAGGTGAGAATTCAACCTCCATGAGCACCAAATGAAGTGAAAGCCCGACTACCCCCCCCAGCCAGAGTGCCCCATCCACAGGTGCCGAGCCGCTCCTCTACGAGGCATCTCCTCGTAGAGGACAGCCTGACGCTGCCAACGTGCTGCCAGCAGCGTTCTGGAAGCTGCCATGCGCTGCTGGCAGCAAAACGACGCTGGCAGCATCATTAGATGCTGCCAGCACAGAGGAATCTTGCCAGCGGTGGCAGCTTTGCTGCATCACCACCGAGGTCGGCCTGTTTAAATGAATCTGGTCCCGGGGTGTTTTCTACACACTTTGCTAGTGTTATAGTCAACTTAATTTTTTTTCCATTTATAAGAATTATAAGACACCCTAAACCATCCCGTTTACAAGATAACTCAAGCATTTTTGCCCGTGTACGAGATAAGACATATATGTCTTATATCCGGGCGATGACGGTAGTATAATGGAAAGATGTGATACATATCGAAATTTGTGGTAGCCTTACTGTGAGCGGCGTGGGAAAGGTTGGGAGGCGTTGAAGTGTCAGTGGCTTACTGTCGACATTTCTTTGTGAAATCGGGCCCTCAAGTCGCAAAGCTTTGAATCCGGGTTCTTGGTTCTAGTGTGTGTGTGTGTGTGTGTGTGCGTGTGTGTGTGTATGTATGTGTGTGTGTGTGTGTTGTCAAGCCATATCTGTGCTAGTTGTGTGTAGGCTATAGTGGGGTAGCCCGTGTGGGGTACAACCCAATATTAGGGTTAGTACTTGTACCCACAATTCATTCAATGCAATCATTCCTGCTTGCTATCTTGACATGGTTTCAAAGCAGTAGGTCCGTAGGACCGTTCTTTTTTCCGGGCCCACCATACTTACCGTCATCGCCCGGATATAAGACATATATGTCTTATCTCATACGCTACTCAAAATGCTTGGGTTATCTTGTATTTGGGACGGTTTAGGGTGTCTTATAAGTCCCGTAAATGGACAAAGAACCGTTTAGAAGATACCCCCTCGCTATTCAATTGCCCCTAACCCCTACACTGGCTGAATTCGTACACAGAAATATGTGTCTTATAATGAGGCTAGCCTGTTTATAAGAGACACCCGGATAATAGACAACCCATGTCTACTATTCAACACTGTCTTCTATCCGAGCGACGACGGTAGCGATCGACTGCGGTTACCGCGTTACCCCACTACCCTTCGTCGCGCTGCCCCGCGCACGGCCTGCCCTGCCTCGCGTCGCGCTGCCCTGCGCACGGCCTGCCCTGCCTCGCGTCGCGCTGCTCTGCGCACGCCCTGCCTTGCCCCGTGCGCGCTGCCTAGCGCACGCCTTGCCCTGCGCCAGTGCCCTGCCCTGCGCCAGCGCCCTGCCCTGCGCCAGCGCCCTGCCCTGTGCCGGCGCCCTGCCCTGCGTCAGCGCCCTGCCCTGCGCCAGCGCCCTGCCCTGCGCCTGCGCCCTGCCCTACGCCCGCGCTACTGCCCTGCGCGTCGCGCCCTACGGCAGCCCACGCGTCGCGCGCTGCTGCCCCGCGCGTCGCGCCCTACGGCAGCCCGCGAGTCGCGCGTTGCTGCCCCGCGCGTCGCGCTCTACTGCAGCCTGCGCGTCGCGCCCTGCTGCCCCGCACGTCGCGCCCTACGGCAGCCCGCGAGTCGCGCGCTGTTGCCCCGCGCGTCGCGCTCTGCCGCAGCCCGCGCGTCGCGCCCTGCTGCCCTGCGTGTCGCGCCCTGCTACAGCACGCGCGTCGCGCCCTGCTGCCATGCACAGCGCGCGCCCTGCTGCTCTGCACAGCGCGCGCCCTGCTGCGTGCGCCACCCAGGCCGAGGCGAGCCACCCTGCCCGAACCGATCCGCCTTGCTGCTCGTGCTACTGCTGCTGTTGGTGGAGGTGCTGCTAGGAGTGCTGGAGGTGCTAGAGCCTAGCCTCACGAGCCGCTCTGCTGTTCGTCTTACTGCTGCTGCTACTCGTACTACTGCCTTCACTACGTACTGCCCTCCTTGCTTGCCCGCCATGACTTCACTTTGTGGTCGCGGTGGGAGTGGTGACGGCGGTGGTGGCAACAGTGGGAGTCGTGGCGGCCGTAGTAGTAGTCACTGTGGAGCTGTGTAGTGTGGAGTCTCTGGCGGTGGCCAGATGTAGCTACGCCGGCGTCCGACCTGTACGCCCTAGCAGCTTCGTGAGCTGCTTTACCAGCGTGGGACGTCTCCGAGTCCTGGTCGCTGTCCGTACGTTATTCGCACAGGTCGTCGAGCTGGTCAGACCTGTGGGACATCTGGTCACGCACAGTCCTGCTGCTTCGCCTATTTGACTGACACCTGGCACGCAGAGTTTGGCGACGAGGCTGAGACCCCCCACTGGCTTGAGCTGCTTAGGTCGGGCGTTGATGTCTTTGCTGTAGACTATGACGCCATCCTTACTGCCATGTCTGCTTTGCCTGGTGGTGCTGCGAGT